GACAGGATGTCTCTGTTTAAGAGATAATGAGAGGAAGAGATTTCAACTCCTGGAAAACCCTGAGCATCTCAACTACACACACACACACACACACACACACACACACAAACGGCCAGAGTGGCTCGCCAAAGGCTGGCATGTCGGTGTGACCTCAGCTCGTTCACCCATTTATGCGACTCGCTTGGTACTAGAGATTGTGTGGTCTGGTGCCCCACATCCCGGGATGCCCAACACAGCAACTGGCATCAATTCACAAGCACAGCAGCCCTAAAGAGAGGCACCGAGGGGATCGTTAAATAAAACTACAGTGTCACTTTTGGAAGGAAGCAGGGCTCATAAGGGCCACCGAGAGCTCGAGGGCATGGGCTCACGCAAATCTCAGCTGGGCCTCTGCAGGGAGCGTTACCGCAAGTCACATTAAATCAGGGTCAGAAGCATGAATGTCCCCGTTATGTAATGGCGGGATGAGGGGGTCAGAGGTGGCCGGCACTTAAAATGCTTCCTGTCCTCTGAGGCCCTCATATCCCACCAGCCGACTCTCCTCGCGCATTTCTGATAACTGTAAATTTGCAAATGGGACAGCACACATTACAGAACAGGGCTGTAAACACAGCACAGAGGTCCAGGCTGCTCTGTGGGAGAGGCTGTCCAAGAAAGAGATGTAAAAACATACTTTTTACTGGAATCCACCACCAAGTCCTGACCAACACTAACAGTGCAATACAATTGAGAAACTTCTCATACTTCTCGCAATTAATGAAGGCATCAGCTTCAGGAGAACTAATGCAGGATTCTCATAGTGTTTTTCCACTCTCCCCTTTACTCCCTAAGCCAGATGTGTCTAATCTGGGCACTAAAGTGGCAGGGCATATATGCAGCATGTTATCGCCCCCGCCGAGGACTCCACGGCTAATTTAAACCCCGCAGACACCGCGACTGTCCCCGGCTGGCTCCATTTCCCCTGCAGATAGGACAATTGCTGCTAGATGCACAGAGATTACACACATGCATCCACCACATCACTCTGATCCAAATTCTTACATCATCTGAACCAAAATGACGTCAAAACGATGCCGTGGAATTAAAAAAAAAATCGGGCCCACTTTAAAGTGTATATTCTTCATTAACTTCGTAGTTTACCGTTCTGACGAGGTATACACTAATTTCATACATCGTACCAAAAATACCACAATGATCCACACCGCTGGTACTTAAAAGATGCCTTAAAAGTTTAAATTTTGTTATTGTGAAACACTGTCATATGTGGCCAGAGTCTGATCGAGGCTACACGTCTTAAAGATTAACATGTATAGTTAGCAATCTGGAACAGACACACACTTTCTCCGTAAAAACACGAGCACACACAGAGTACGTGTGTTTACCTGTCAGTGGATTGTAAGCCGCTCATTGGGATTCCTTCCTTACTTCTTCGTTTTATATCCAATTAGCATCCTACAGCAACACTAAAACATTCAGACAAATAACAGATCCCCCTTAAACATCCATGCATAGGTATCCAATATTGTTCAACGAAGCCAGCAACATTCTTTTTAAGTTTAAGTGGCCGTGTTACAGTCCGGGTTTTTAAAAAATATATATATTATATATATATATATATATTAGTGGAAGGGTTGCTGTGTGCTACGGCGTGGCAAAGAATCTGTGCAAAACTACCTGAACACGTTTGGCCAGAGTTTTGAAGTTTCCTTTAACAATAAGCATACCCGCATTCCATAACGCCTCTCCGATCGCCCAGTGCTCTATTACTGTCTTTTAATGTCTGATATTTATTCCTTTCGTTTAGCAGTCTCTCTTGATTCTGGCGACCAGCCTCAATGCACCGTTTTTGTTAAAATAAGTTGAATCGCGAAGGTCCAGATCTACTTAAGCATCCAAATTCAACTTTGAAAGACGTCGATCTGGTGTTTGTTCGCAAACTTTAGCAAAAAAAAAAAAATACGCCCGCGTTTGCACGACACAGCTACCGAAATCACAAGCTTGGACTTCATCCACTTCGCTTGCTTAAAGTAAATGTAATTTTCCCCGAATCGAGGGTCCTCCGTTAACAGAAGCCAATAAGACAGACATCCCACGTTGCGATTGGAAAATAAGAAAACGTCTTCCTTAAAAAAATAAGTCGACCATGGTCCTTTACGAGTCCTCTTGTATCGTACGGCCAAACATCAAAGTGTCTTCGCGGAGGGGGGAGACTTCCAGTGAAACGAGGTTTTAAGCAGAACTTCGGTGGACCTTCTTTTCTTTCCGATGCTGGATCAGACCTTGGTTCAATAGGAGCAAAAATAAATAATACTTTCACAACTAAGCGCCAGTAGCCCGGGACAGCTGGAAATACAGCGGTGGGCCGCGATTCTTTATTTCAACACGCCAGACCTACAGATCGCCCCCCCCTTGTGTCTATGTTTCCATAGGGTTTCCATCCCGGTGCTGCAGTTTTACAGTCACATTCCCGAAGCTGTGCAGTGCCTTCTCCATGCACGAACGTCTTTCAGTATCCACTAACAAGCAAAAACACTATCACTGTAGCTATTTGTGAACTATATAAAGTATATAAAAACGCTAACTCTAAGCGATACGTGATTGTGCCTTCTCAAAATTAGGCCTATTAAATGAGTTAAGAAAAAAAAATCCTCCTGTTACTCCGCCCTAAGCCAAGTCTCCCTCATCGCAGGGTGTACACTTCCGCCAGAAAAACATCCCATTAGAAGAAAACCAAATTATCGGAAAGAAAATAACGTGTCGATTTATTATTGTTATCGTACCCAAACACTAGCTGAAATAGGCTACATAATCATCTTGAATGATATACAGTAACCAATTACATGAAACAATTAATATAGTACATAGCAGTGCAGCAACTAAAGGTCTTCTCGTGCTTCTGATTCATGTGATTTTATATCTTTCTGCATTTGTTTATATTAGAAAAATGGCCGTTCCTTACCGCATACTGTGCATTTATACTTGAAAATATTTTTAAAAACACGTTATTATAGAGAGATGCCTAACAGCGAGTGGTTAAGTGTAACACAGCGTCAAGTCTGACTGCCACGCAGTCACGGACCGATCGCCGGTACCTCCGATTCCAGTCCCCGTCCCCCGGCGTAACCCTCGCCCTCCACAAGCAGAACGTGCGCCATCTGGCCAATCGCGGCTCCAACAACGCAAATGAACTGCAGTAAAGATTAATTCATCCAGCGCATTTCCAAGTATTCTTCTGGCTGCACTGCATGGGTATTATTAAGGATTCTTATGTTTCCCAATTCCTTAAGCATTACAAAACTAATAATTATTCGTATATAAAGTGAACGTTTAATCAACAAATAGTTAGACCAGTACAATGCATTTATAAATAAGTGTAGGCGAGTACAAAAGATACGTTATTAGTTCATTTTGTTCATATTCCAGGATCAATAAGGTACAGAAAATGATTTACAATTATATACTAACTTGACGACAGCAATGTATTCCCTGGATAACCCCGTCACTCCCTCCCCCATCAAAATCCCTACTTTTCCCACACCCTCCAAACTGGGTCTCTAGCCTCCGTACGTAGAGTTGGGCGGTATCTAAGTTATCAGATCGTCATGCTGGCCGTACATATATAGCGCATACACAGACATGCCACTTTCAAGCACAATGATTTCAGAGAGGCCGGTGAGAGAGAACAGGGGGAGGAGTGCCCCCCTGCTAATTTCATCTGGAAATACCGGAATTGCCAGCTTTTTAAAATACCTTACAGCGCTGGATAATGTCTCGACGGTATGACGTATTAAAAATCAGCTGGGGGTGGGGTTTGGGGTGCTGGCAGTAAAATGTGTCTGGTATAGCCTACAGTATACAGTATTTTGAGTATTTTTTTCTCCGAAAGCAATGCTATTCTGGTATTTAGAAATCACAGATAGGGGAAACCCCACGATAAAAATATCGCGGTATATCAAAAATATTAAAATAATACCACCCAAGGCTAGCCTATCCAAAACACTCTACCCACTTCTCCAAAAAAATTGGGATTAAAAGCCCAATTTTGCATGACTTACCTCAGTGTAAACTATAGGCTATGTCTGGGGCTAAATGACATGGTTAGTAGGAACAGTTATGCACTTTCCCACAGGAACTTTTTTCGGGAACAGCGTCCAACTGTAGTTCCTTGGAGGTAGGTCTGGAACCTTCTTTGAGTCCCTACACTGGACTAGGTACAGTAAAACATCGAGTTGCGAGCATAATTCGTTTCGGAAACATGCTCGTAATCCAAAGCACTCGTATATCAAAGCGAATTTTCCCATTAGAAATAATGGAAACTCAGATGATTTCGTTCCCAAAATATTTTCATACCCAAAATATTCATATAAAAATGATTGATACAAAGTATAAAGTAAAATTACATAAAACAAATTTACCTGCACTTTACCTTTAAAAATAATCGTGGATGGTGTGAGGGAGAAGAGAGGAGGGTTATTTTGTAGGACGACTTTCACTATAACTATCGGAATCACTGCTATCTGTTGGCTCACTGGAATCTTTTTCTTTTTGTGCGACTTTAACAGGGAACCTACCCAATGACAGCTGCTTTTGTCCCCTTTTCGATTTCGCGGAAATGTGACATTGCATTGTCGTTAAACAGACTCATCGCTGGCACTGCTACGCCCTTATGCGGGTAGTTCTGCTAAATTTCGTCTATACGAGTGAGGCACGCCGACTGAGACCGAGCATGAGAGACGGTTACCCACAATCCCGCAGCGAGAGAGAGGAGAACAAGCGGCTCAGTTGTGATCACGTGGCGCTCGGCAGACACAGCGTATACGTAATACTCGTTCTGCGAGACCTCGCTTGTTTATCAAGTTAAAATTTATTGAAATTTTTTTTTTGCTCATCTTGCAAAACACCCACGAATCAAGTTACTCGCAATCCGAGGTTTGACTGTACTTCTGTTCAACCACGATCTACAGGGGCAGGGCTTATAGCAACAAACTTCATGATTGGTTCACCACAAGCACCAGCACTAATTTGGAAGTGCAGGGAGGAAATAGAAGTAGTGGAGCACAAGTTGAGCAGATGGAATTATATTTGTACCTCAAATGCATTTATTGAATTAATGAATATCTATCTGCTGACATCGCCATATTTATGCATTGGAAAATTCGAATGATAACCGATATACTGCCAAGGGCCAAGTTAAAAAGTAGGCTAAAGTAGGTTAAAGTAGGCAGAGGAATTAACTAAACTTTAGAAAGAATGTCTGAAGACATCTAGTTTGTATAAATTTTACTGTGTTCAGTACAGGCCCTACATACATCGCATTCTGCAATTTTGATTATTTCTTAAATCAGCATAAATTACAGTAACTGTATTTCCCCACAGCCGGTATGACAGATCCAACACACATGCGTTGCTGAACAACTAACCATCACGTGATCTTCACATCTGTGTATGTTATGTTGCACTAAGGCTACAAGCGTTTTTTCTGATTTTCAGGCGAGACCAATCTCTGATGGAAAATCAGATCATTCTCTTCTCCTCCCGGCCCTCCACATCCAATCCAGCATTTTTTGCTGGTGTTAACCCGATACTGATAGTGGGTATCTGATTGATGCCATCTCTATTTTTCAGTTATCATGATGATCATTAATCTGTTCATATATGGACAAATACGTCCATGGCAAGACTTGTCTGTGTCTGTGGTAAAAAAAACTATGTCGTCTACATTTTTAAATTCCAATTTGATCACAATGTCAGAATTTTATATGGTGTTGACTACTGGTTCTAGATTGATTTCACCCATGCAATGTGTCTGCAAAGTTTGCAAAAGATCTTTTTGTGTCATCACAGTAACAAGATCAAGTGTCTGAGGCTGTCCTTTTCTTTTGCCGCTTTTCCACTGCCACCCAGAACTGAGCTGAACCATGTAGAGATGGTTTTCCATTGCAAATTATGCAAGCGACTTGCTAGCAGGGCCAAAAGTGTGACTAAACCAAGCTGGTTGCGTCACCACATCTCAAAATGCACGGAGACATGAAAGAACCTGTGGTTTACGGTGATATGCATGGATTAGTAGTACTGTATGTATGTGAGTGTATGGATATGAATGTGTATGTACATATGTATACATGGGTGCACAAGTGTATATGTACATATGTATGTATGTGTGTGTAGGAATCTGTTTATATATATGTATGTATAGGTATACATATGTATATGTATAGGTATATTTGTATATCTTCTAACCTTGAATTTATGTATTTCCTAACTATGTGTGCCCACAGCACGACAAATTCCTTGTATGTGAAGCATACTTGGTGAAATAAAGTGATTCTGATTCTGATTCTGTACAATATGGTGTATTGCATTCCCGATCACTTGCAACTTGGAAATTTTCACCTTTCCTCCACAATTTCCTACTTGAAAAAGTACTACAGAATGGCTGAACGAAATGGATTTGTAATGCAAATTAACACAAGCTAATGATAATTCTGCTGGCTACCGTTTGATGCTAACTTATCACAACGGTTCTCATAGACCATCTAGAAGAAATGAACACATAGTACATTATCATGTATGCTGTGTGAAAAGTAAACAAGTTTTTCTTCGGTTTTACGTTATTGTCACTCTCCAAACCAGCAATGCCTTTACTGAGCCAACCCTTGTGCAGTGGAAAGTCATAGCAAGCTGGAACCGTGTTGTAATAGTGTCACTTCATAGTATGAGTTGGTTATGGTCTGGTTCCTGATTGCCAGTGGAAAAGCACCATTAGTTGTTACTATATGGCACTACTTTAATATTAGCTTAATTTGTCTCAAAATTTGACCCCTTTGTAAATCATTACTCATACATTCTGTTTGCAAAATTTAAAAGGATCCATCAAATACTTTTAGAGTTACTGTGTTCACAAGATAAATGTCTTCTACAGCTGCCCTTTCCTCCCCACAGGTGCCACCTAGTACAGCAATTTTGGAGCAATTATTAAAAAAATTAATTCATTTATTCAGTGCAGATCTTCATCTAGATGTTTTGTGAAGTAGTAATAAGTTCCAGCAAACCTTTTGACTAATTACGTTTACATGGTCAAATGTCATCTGCAGTCATGCTGCCCTCTACTGACACATCATCGTTGGTTTAACTTTGGGGTGCTTTGTCTCAAGGTTTGAAATAAAGCCTTCCAATACTTTTGTGTTATCGTGCTAACATGATCAAGTGTCAAAACTGCCTGTTTATTTGCTATCACTATGCAGCACAGCTTCATTTTTGGGATGATCTGTCTCAAAATTTGATCATTTCCAATTTGTCACCCATACAATGTCTCATTGAAGCTTGAAAAAGATCGATCCAATACTTTTTCAGTTGTCACACTAACAAGAAATCTCTGAAGCGGCAGACAGGTCCCAAAATCCGGTGAATAAAGTCTCTGTGTTCTTAATGAGTATAGAGAATTAGTGCAACAATGGTCACAAGAAGGATGTGGTTACCAAAGAAAGTGCACCTCTTAAAGACAATGAACATTTTTAAAATAAACTCAATTAATCTAGTCAGGCTTACATTAAGAATAAAACAAGACTTATTTAAATAAAAAACCCTGTAAAAATCACATGAAGACATGCATCCAAAACCAAGTCATTTAATAATGACTGTGTTTATCAAGGAATAAGATAAATGTTTATTTATTGCAATGTTCTAAATTACAGTGACCAAAAGCATATAAACATTTAAAATACTGGAGTATTTCATAATCCTGAGCTCTTAATCTGAGACCACGCAGAATTACATCATGCGGAGGGCTTATGGGAAAAGGAAACGTAAGTTGCCTTCTGGATCGGCTTGGATATGAGGCTGTTATTCCCCATCAGAAGTGCTTTGGAGAGATGCCCTTAAAAATTCCGTGTTGGCGTAAGACCGCTCAGCTCTGTCACTCCTACAGCCTCCAGCAATGACAGAGAGGGGCGTGTTCAGTTTGTTTAAAGTGGTTAAAAGAACCAAGAGATCACAGATTTTATATACAAGAGTCAATAGCCACAGAAAACAACCCTTTGGGGAAATTTACTGATCTGTCTCATATAGAGCAGTGTTTCCCATGCTGGCCCTCGGAGACCCACAGCTGGTTCATGTTTTTACTTCCTCCGAGCTCCCTGTCGGACAGTCCACGTTTTTGCTTCCTCTGAGATCTCTGTTAGACAGTTCACATTTTTGCAGCCCTCCCAGCTCCCTGCCAGTCAGTCCACATTTTTGTTCCCTCGCAACTCCGTCAGACAGTCCACATTTTTGCTCCCTCTAAGCTCCATGTCAGACAGTCCAAATTTTGCTCCCTGTCAAATAGCCCACATTTTCCCTCTTTCCCAGCTCCCTGTCAGACAGTCTTCATTTTTGCTCCCTCTGAGCTCCCTGTCAGACAGTCTGCATTTTTGCTCCCTCCCAGTTCCCTGGCATACAGTCCACATTTTTGCTCCCTCCGGGCTCTCTGTCAGACAGTCCACATTTTTGCTTCCTCCGGGCTTTCTGTCAGACAGTCCATGTTTTTGCTCCCTGCCACAGGTAGCAAAAATGTGGAATATCTGTGGGTCCCCGATGGCCAGATTGGGAAACATTTATATATAGACTATAAATCCAGCTGTCTTGCAACCACTTCTCCTGGGTTACAGGGGGGGCATGGGGCTATCCAAGGCAGCACATCCTCAAGGCAGGGTTACACACCGGACAGGATGCTCCATATAAACCAAACAGAGGCTATGCTATATATCAACACATGCAAAAAAAAATTATAATAATAATTAGTATTCACAGCTGCTTATAACCAGTTCACTTTTAAATGATCTTATTTTAAATTATCGTCAACTACACCTGTACTGAGCCTTAGTTTAGATGTAAAAAAATCAGCGCTTTCTGTTGTGATTTTGATCAATATCCAGTGTCATTTAAAAATAATTGGCTTTACATTTTCTGCATGATTAAACTGCAGTAATATAGGAATCAGGTGACCAATAAATAATAATAAATATTACTGAAAAGGCACTAGCACAAGAAAATGATGGACTCTTATGTTATGTACATTATACCATTTTTGAAAAGCTGTTTTATATGGTGCAGGAACATTTCACATTTTTACCCTCAAACATTCCGGGAGAACCTCTCCAAACAAAACACTCAAAGATACACAAAGGATGGATCCAGAAAATGGTGCCACAAATATTTTAATATTGTCCAGACTTACAAACAGTTTACCTCCTTACTGGAAACGGCCAATGAAATCCCAAGGATCTGTTCCTAAAATGGTCTCAGACACAATTCAACTTAACGTCCTCTACCTGGAAAAGCTTTTCTACAGTATCGGTTCATTCAAAAACTTCTTATTAAGTAGCTTGTGGTTTTTAGAAACTTTTGAAGTTCTCATGACTTAAAAATATTTTTTTTAAAAAACAAGTCTGAGGGACTTGACATCGTCACATGACATGAAAAAAGGTCACATTACGTCAGCGAGATTTAAAGTAGGGATAGAAAAAGGAGAAAGGAGATTAGAACTGAAAGGGAGCCAATCGATGGAGCTGTTTTATTCCACTTTCCCATCATGCCCGTTGACCTCTGCCCCCTTGTGGCGAAGCTGCCAATGACGGTACTTAGCACCACACTTGCGGTAGGCAAAACGCATGATGTTGGCTAAGAAGACCCAGGAGAGGAGGTACATGGCCACACCTCCGCATTTCATCACCAGCAGCGGGCGGGGGGAGGCCAGCTCGCAGTACAGCATGTGACCGCCCACGCCGATGCGCATAAAGATAAAGAGCGCCACGAACAGCAGGTCCACCGTGTCGCCCACCGGCCCGTCATAGCGGCCTGTCCGCCGCAGGAACCAGCGTGTCTGAAGCAGGGGGTTGGTGATCTCGCTGCCGAAGATGACGGCGCAAGCCTCGATGCCTGACTCGCCCACCCAGAGCACCAATATGATTCCCATGATGCTCAGCGTGTGGTGGGCCAGCATCACAGGTCCCTCCGTGCGAAAGTAGACACACCAGCCCATGTCGAAGGTGAAGTAGCCCAGGCTGAGCACCAGGGCCAGCACCTGCATGGGTGTGTTCTCCGTACCTGCAAAATGCACAGCACAGAGACACAGTCTACTCTCTGACCTGAACTGCCAATTAGAGCAGTGTTTCCCATCCGTTCCTCTTGAAACCCCAGACAGTCCTCGTTCTTGCTCCCTCCCAGCTCCCGGCAAAACTGTGGACTCTTTGGCAGGGAGCAAAATCATGGACCGTCTAGGGATCCCCGAGGACCAGACTGGAAAACACTGAATTAGAGGAATTTAACTGAAAAATGTCCAGTTTCCAATACCTGATTATGGTACATTTAGAATTTTTATAATGCTACAGTTTTGCGAGAATTAAAGCAGACAGCTGTTTTATGTTAGTTACTCATTCTGAAAAAAAAATGTAAACAAGATCATTTAAAGTGACAGAAACCAGAAATTTCAAAAGTAAAGGTCAAAATGAAAGGCTGGACCAATCCCTAAACAGAGATGAAATATAACAGGGGCTTACCTGGGTGCGTAAAGGGCCAGGGGCCATCGACGTAGCCTATGTACGCCGTGACGCAGACGATGAGGACACCGTGGAAGAGCGTTACCAGGCGGCAGTTCCACTCATATCCACGGTGACCATTCAGGAAACACAGCAGAGCGTAGACAGAGACCCAGCCGACCAAGCAGACGGCCACTTGTAGGAGAAGCGAGGTCATGTCTTCACTGCGTAAACTGAAACCAAAGTTGGGAAAAAAAAAAATCCATCACTAATAGTTTCCATAGCAATCTGCAAAAATGTGGTCTGCTCCTATATTTTCACCCAAAAATAAACAAAAACAAATACTTATACTCCGAATAGGAGATAAAGCTTCAGTCGATCTCATGCTGGTCTCTTTCTGTTGGAAAATCGAGGAGCTCCAGGTGAGAGAAAGCGACCCCACAGGGGAGAGTGATCACCCTCGGACAGGTATGCCAGGACTCGCCCCACACCTGCGCTCCGCCGGATCCACCTCATAACATTTGCACATCCCAACCAATCCCCGTTTTGGAACCGTGTCCAATCAGAGAGCAGCCTTTCTGGGCAACCGGGGGTAACAAGCACTGTGATACTTCTAAGAAATTCTGCCTCACTTACTTTGTGCTCGACCCGGGGAATGGTCCGTCCAGCCTCAGCTGTCGCTACGCCTTTCAGTGAAGACGCGTCTAAGCCCGTGCCGCCAGAACCAGAACCACCTCCCCTGCCGGCCCCACCCATCACACACAAAGGCAGAGGCTGCTCAGACTATGAAATATTGGGAAACATTAAGACATTTTGGGACGTTTCAAAACTGGCGCAAAGGTCCCACTGAATACGGCCACCAAGGCATGGACACGGCGATATCTCATCATGTTGTGATTTTTGAGCAAGGTCTTTAAACAAAGAGATCTTTCCATTCTTGGGTTATGCATCTGGATGTATTACTGAACAGGTGGGCATGCGAGTGTGTTGCCGAATGGCAAGACTGAACACCGGTAGGGTTCTGAACACCATACTCCAAGAACCAGGGTCTCAAAAGCCCAGCAGCAGAACCTACAGTACAACCTGTTGTTCTAAAGCCCAAGTTTAATTTCTGTCATGTGTGTTTAACTGCTCTCATACCTGCTGTCCCTACAGCTTGTGTTCGATACAGGCTTACTTCATTCCTACGTTGACAAATAACCCCTAAATTCTCATTGCTCTCCAAGTTGGAGATACTTACACAAGAGCCTGGGGAGAACCCAGTGGCCAAAAACTTTCACAACACCACCGGAAAAAACATCTGCACGGGGAGGCAGCACTGCCGACCTGAGCTGTGCACTGGGGTCACTGGAATACAGGGCTGTGGTCCCACCCAGGGCAGGAGGTGTGGGAGGGCAGCCCAGCACCACATGGATCGCTGCTTAGTCACAGTATGTAAGGGACGGTTGCTAAGCAACTGTATCACTTTAGCAAACATTTGTCTGCAGGAAAGAGAAACATTAATAAGGGTTGGGCACAAACGTAACACTTCGGCAGGTACAGGTATGCATCTCCTGCAGTATATGTCGATTTCCGCTTATTTGCTATTTATTATAATCCAACTTCACTTTTCATCCTCAATTTGACCACACAATGAGCCATCGAGACGTCAGTTTAATTATTGCTTGTTTTTTTTCTGAGCCGGAGCTGATTTATTATACGTGCAATAATTTATTGCCGGATACTGGAACTCCGACTGCGTTATAATTGCACTGTGACACGAAAACATAAATTTGTACACTTACGCGCCGCTAAAAATAAAATAAATATCCATATTATTTAGATGGTGAACACCAGTACATAAGGGCGACTAGTAAATAACGCAGTAGCCGTAGGATGCAGCTGCAGCATGAAGCGGTGTAGGGAATAATGGATGCCCACATGGCTAAAACACCGGAGATGGTCAAAATATCAGCAAAAGAGAGCTGTCCAGGGTGCAAAATGTGAAGGCGTACCTGGCCTCCATCGGGGAACGTGGCGCGTCCGGCGCGATGCTTTTGCGCACATGCGCCAAACGCTACATATTCGGCATCTTCTGATGTTCAAGGACCAAAGCGGAGCCTCTCTCAGCGGACAGCCGAGGAGATACAGTAACTGCGGACCTCAGATCGGTCAGAACCGGAAGGCATTCGTTAAAAAATATCCATGGAGAAAAGCATCGATTGTTAACGACGACGGCGCAGGGTTGGGAGAACGATTTCTCAGCAGCGGATCTTTTCATCAGAGCAAATATCGGCGGCCCCTGCTGGAGAAAAAACTCATTGCACAAAAATCCGCAACGTTTTACTAATTAAAATTTCCCGGCATGATGAGGGTGTCTTTATGAATGACATTTTAACATGAGGTGCGAGCAATATCAGAATAACCAACTCCGTTCAAAAATGAGAGGCAAGTGATCTGTTTTCACAGAATTTATTAATTTTCGTTAAAGTATACTTTGAACGTCCGAAAGCATATCGTGCAAGGTATACTGAAATAAAGTATAAAAATACAAAAAAGTTACTATTTACATTGGACGGATAAACGCATCATATGCGCTTTTTACCTTGAAATAAACAGCGGTTAATTCTTAAGGTATTTGTGAACACAGCGTAATACATGTTACAGAGAACTTTGTGGACACAAACTGATCAAAGCCGTTCTGGGGTATGTTAGCGCTGCCACTTTAAAGCAAAACTAGTAAATATTGAAAATTTGCTCGATTAATGCACAGATAAAGGAAATTTGCCACTTCAGTGGATGTAAAACCTTTGTATTATGGGGACAGTGTGCACAAAGTGTCCCTCCTTGGACGTCCAGGTAAGTTTTTCTTACGGTGTTCCAGGACACTGTGCAGCAAAAGATCCCGTTTTACGTTTTCAGTAGAGACAGGATGGAGCGTTCCATGCACGGTACCATGGTCTATAAAGGAAAACAAATTAAATAAATGAAAACAAACGAAAACTGAGATTGAAATCAGAGTATCTGCACTGGTCGGTACCAAAGGTGATCAATACATACGGAGACATTTAATCATTAAATATAATCAAATGAATAAATGACAACAGTGTATATTAGAGTGTGTCTGCATGTGTGTAACAGCGATCTCACGAACCCTGTGGCACTGAGGGACTGTGTGACCCCCTGTGAGGTCAGCGTGATGGGGCCGGAGGAGGTCCCGCTGGGGGAGGTCCTGCTAGGGGAGGTGGTGGAAGACACTGGAAGGGAGAATGCAGACTCAGCATCGGGCTACGGTCTTGCGTAGGAGTGGCTATTGGCATCATAAATGTTCATGAGGCTCCTTCTAGTTTGCACTTACCCCCGTTTACAGCAAGTGGACCGAAGGACCTGGAGGTGATTGCCTGAAACAGGTAGTAAAGATGGATACCTGTCAGGTGACAACAAACAGAGTCTGACTGCATCATAGCACAACAGAAGTCCAACAGCCTGGAAAGATCTATGAGGTGAAAGGTCAGGGAAACGTATGGACACTCAGCCAGGGGGTAGTCGATGGTTTTGGGGGAGAGGACTCACCAGTCGGGGGTTGGCTCCTGGTGGCTTTGCTGTTGTCATGACAACCGGGCTGCAGATCCTCTTCTCCTTCTGCCGCCGGTTGCAGAACCAGACCCTCACCACTTCCTTCTCCATTGCTAGCTGCTCCGAGATCTGCGAGATCTCCTCCGAGCTTGGCTTGGGGTTCTGGGTCACATGTGACATTTAGCATTTAGTAAGTAGTCACATCTATGCCTGTATACCACATCTCTACACCAGTATCTCCCTATCCAGTCCTCAGGGACCCACAGTCGGTCCATGTTTTTGCTCCCTGCCTGAAAGTCCACATTTTTGCTACCTCCCAGCTCACGGTGGACTGTCTGTGGGTCCTTGTGGACTGGACTAGGAAACACCGCTGTACACAAAGGCAGTTCTAGACCTTATGTCAAATCCTAGATTGGTCCCTGCTCTATACCTATGTCCCACATCTCTACACAATTATACTTCTATAGAAAGAAATCCTTCACCACAAGCAAGACATGCTGAAAGTCTGTGCTGAATTTCTCCATGGGCTGCAGGGGATCTGAATGGAGAAACTCTCACTCACATCCATAAACCTCTTCTCCAGTGTGAGCTTGATGCTGGCTTCTATGCTGCTTCTCTTCTTCCTCTTCCTACCGAAACCGTCCGCCAGGGGGGCAGCAGGGCTCACCATGCTGTCAGAGGTGGAGTTCTCTGGGAGGGGGGGGGGGCATCATCACATCCTCATTATTATTTAATTACAAATCATAGCATGAACAAAGCAAGAAACAGTTTGGTTCTAACTTATTTTAAATCCCTACCTTTAATAATGTAGGTTTTAAAAAAATCATGAAATGCATCTGAACAACCGTGCCAGAAAGCATAGAAATTCAACATTGTAAAATTGTGAGGAATCACTTCATGCAGTACATTGTTTCCACAAAAAACAACTACAGGAAACGTGTTAGTGGTCATGTGGTTAAACAGATGGGCCACACTGGTTACTGGGTCTCAGAGGAGGGAGAAATTTAGGTCACTGAACCAAAGGTGCAGGTGCACAGTTTTGCCTTCAGGGGGCAGTGTGACCACCTCTTGGAGTAAACATGCTCCTGTATCACTCCTACTAGGCGTGTGAGATTAGATCAAGAATGAATAAAATATCTCCATGAGCTGCCTTTATGGAGATCGTTAGTATCGTGCTAAAGTGCACATTGTGGCAGTTGCAGTGTTGCAGCTCATGCACGCATGTAAAGACGTTTTGTCAACAAAATCCGCTTCGACATGGCAGTAAACGATAACAGCAAACTGTAGGTACTGCCTTGGATTTCTTCCTCCCCCCCTTTTGCACCCTTTCCCCAACATGCACCATATTGCCTATTTGGCAAGGCAGTGGCAAAGGCGACATGGAGGAATTGGTCCCGAAAAAGAATTTGACATCAGTACTTGTTTGGATTTTTCAAAACGAACACAATGCTACCAACAGTTATTAGCAAAATTTGCAGATATGAGGTTTACGTGTCAAATAGCAACATTATGGACCTTTTAAGCCACCTCAAAATTATACACCCAGAAGAGTATGCAGGGAATGTTTGTCTTTAGGTTTTCTGGCCATATTTTTTTAAATAGGGGAATTAATTTGGTCATACTGCAACAACATCGTCATGAAAACCAACAAGAAAAAGAATCGTGATAAGATTGTGGATCATGATCCAGCCTGAAAAATATCACGATACGAAATTTTTGCCATATGACCCCCCCCCCCGGGACTCCTACCCATGTGAGGCACCTACCTGCTTCACTCAGCCACTTCTCCAGCAGCGGCTTCAGCTTGCACATGTTCTTGAAGCTGAGGTTGAGTGCCTCGAAGCGGGAGATGGTGGTCTGGCTGAAGTCGTTGCCGTAGAGCTTCCCCATCGCCAGGCCCACGTCCCCCTGGAACACAAAGACGCAGCAGCGTCTGGACTTGCAAAGACGCAGCAGAGTGTGTCCGTGGGAGTGTGTGTAGAGGTCCTTGTTCACGAGCCATAGCTTTAATTGTGAACTATCAAATTCATGCCATTCGTCTGGACTAACACAAGCTTCCACAGTAAGATTCGGTTATGCTTAAGTTAGAGTAAAGTTATGGTTGTTAGTTTAATGTGTACGGCAGCAGAAAGTACACTAGGCAACTGTAGACTGTATACTGTGATACTTCAACATGGCTGCCACGGTGCTCACATACCTGAGTGAAGCCTAGCTTGATCCGCCTCTGCTTGAAGGCCTTGGCAAACTGCTCCAGGTCCTCCAGCTCACTGGCTTCATCCATCTGCAAGGCAGGCACGTGTTTGGGTACCTGTGCCATCTCTGGGTGGCCATTCAGACAGGGCCCTGCCAGACCTGTCCGACTCCCTGCCTGCGTGAGGACAGGGATGTGACGTGCATCATACCTGAAGGCCAATCATGTGACCAGTACAACATGTGGTCAGAGGACTGCGCTCTTACCTGTGGTGTCAGTGCTAATCCAGGCTGGGGCTGAAGTAGACCAGACTGAGACTGTGAGGGCAAAGAGAGCAGGTTTTGCTGCAGTAATGCTAGAGAACATAAGAACAACATATTAACACAATGAGCAGAGCTGACTCTTTTTCCAGGCACAGGTCGCAATACCATGTCTCTACATTTATAAACAAATATTACAGCTACTATTATATCTAGCTGCCGACTCCTCTGTGAGGCACAAATAATGATACAGACCTTCTGTAAACAGTAGCTGTCAGCACTATTGTTAACAAATGTGTCAAAAATTGTTGACATCCCTCTAACAACCTACCAATGACAGTCATGCTTATTTTAGGCCTGGGGTTTTCAACCTGGGGAAATTATCCAAAGTGGAACTCTCTCTCTCTCTCTCTCT